AATGAGAGAGCAAATAGGTACAATATAGGCACACTACAACTTTGAGTACTGCGCGACTTGCACAAACATTTTTTTTTCATTTTTATGGGATTATAAGGCGGCAAAGAAGCAGACGGATCATCTGATGGTTAGCAATCGCCGTCGCCCATGGACACCTGGAAGAGATAACAGATCACCAACGCAAGACTAATAGCCGACTTTTGGATTACTCGGCATTCTATGTTAAGTGTGGCAGAGCCATGCTTCGGTACGAATGGGCCGGCTCGACCGGAGTAATACCTGGGTCTCACAGAAAACCGGCATGAAACAACGCTTGCATTGTGTTTCGTCGTGTGAGTGAGGTTACCGACAGTCCAATTACCCCTCTCCCCAGTCTCCCCAATCCCCGAATCCCTAACAATCCTCAAATTCTTAATATTCAAAGGGCCGGTAACGCACTTGTATCGCCTCTAGTGTTTCGTCTGGTCGTTTACCGGCTCAATCCATAAAAAAAATCTATTCTACGTTAATGTAGCTAACTAAGAAACAAAAGAGACAATCTATAAATAAACCAAACAACATATAAAATCAATAATTTTATCAAAATCCGGAGCAAAGTGAATACCTAGACATGATCAAACGCTTTTATATTGTTGAATATAGTTAATCGATATTCGATAAGATTACACGGTAATACAATATCTATATATGTACATTTTAGTAATATATTATATACTAGCGGACCCAACAGACGTTGTCCTGCATATCCACTTGAATGTATAAACAAAAATTCATTGAAATTAGGTCAGCTGTTTAGTGTACAATCTAAACATCGACTGCAGCACCATCTGCCGGGCTGATTTGTGAATCTAAACCATTCCCAGATCCCCTTGAACACACACAAAGAATTTCATCAAAATCGGTCCAGTCGTTTGAGAGAAGTTCAGTGACATACACACTCACAGAAGAATTATATATAATTATAAAGATTGTATAGTGTGTGTGGTCGCTCTACCCTGCCTTGTAACAATAATACGACATTATCTTTTAATTCATTATCCTTTAAAAATATAATTCTTGAGATAAGACAATGTTTGTAAACGATACGATAACTATAAGCAAGTACATAACATAACATCACGCCTTTTATCCCCGAAGCAGAGGTGCACATTACGGCACTTAATGCCACTGTCCAATGTAACACTCACTTCTCACTATTTATGTTATGAGTCCCATGTAATAGGGGGTGAGCCTATTGCCATATACCGGGCAAATTTCCAGACTCCGTGCTGCTAATGTGATTTTTTTTAAACACACTATAATACTTTGCCCGACCCGGGACTCGAACCCGAGACCTCTTGCCCGGCAGTCGGCCAACAAGGCAGGCATATAGCCAAGTATCCCACTAATATTATAAATACGAAAGTTTGTGAGAATGTATGTGTGCGTGTCTCTTTCACGTCAAAACCGCTGAAGGGATCAAGATGAAATTTGGAACAGGGATAGATTATGGTCTGGAATAACATATAGGATACTTTTTATCCCACGGGAACTAGTACATATAGTGTTGAAATAAATGATAAATATTGTACCATAGATTCACAGAGTTATGAATGAAATTGTATCATTGTTTCATCACCGTTTTATTAGTCAATGTTGAAATCAGTGATTTTCTATATATTTTTTTTTAATGGGATAAGCCGGTAAACCGGCAGACGGATCACCTGATGGTAAGCAATCGGCGTCGCCCATGGACACCTGGAACACCAGAGGCGTTACAAGTGTGTTACCGGCCTTTTGGGTATTAGGATCATTATGTAATTATGGAATTTGTACTCTGCAATGCATTAAACTGTAAAACACCAAGCGGTCACCGGTGACCGCAACCTATTGTTCTATAATTGTGTCTATAATGACGGTACTCGACGAGTTAGTTACCGCTAAAAGTGTGTTATCCTCTCGTAAAAGCGTTGATCCAATTTGATGAAGTTTCACTCGTGCTACTCATGATTATGAGCCCCGGTCAAGGCTTGAAACCAATCGAGAACCCTCGAAAATTATTTTCAACCTTGATTTCGTGTATAATTAGTGAATAAATAGATGAATACTAACCAAATCCACAAGGATCTCTTAAAATGTCAGGTTCGTGAGTTGGTTCGATACTTTCACATTTTTCAATTTCAAGTGTCCTCATGTAGTAACACAGATGTAAGAAGTCCATCTTTACCGACTTTATATATATAACATATTATTCATTAATCACTTTAGTCATTATTGATTTGCACTGTACATTTAGTTTTAGACACTGTTTATCAGTTTATTACAAGACAATCGCTGCGTTAAAATATACCTATGTAGTAGCGGTATTTATGGCAATTTGTAATATTAACTATTACAACTTTACAAGTTATATCTGTCAATGGGATTATGTTCTTAGATCATATGTGCCTTAAGCAATTAGTAGTTTTGAATAACTATTATTTCAAATTAAATAGGATATTTTTGTTAACAATAGATCTTAGAAATATGTTTTAATTTGTTTTAACTTCGTCTCGAATCAATTTCGAATCTTATGGAATATTACGGTTAATCACACTACGACCATTAGCATACACATAAAAAGGTACCTATTTAATAAACAAAATTTAACACAATTTACACACTATTTTGTTTCCGAATCGCGGGATTTTTAAATAACACATAACACGCGTTATCGCTTCGGCGACTAACACGCTACTGACCGATTCGTTGTGATATTGAGCTTATCAGTTACTTATCTTTGCATAGTCTCGTCTAACGGATATAAAAAAAAAACTGTATATTCTGGCGGGTAAAGGCAGAGATTATCTAACAATGTAATACAAAGGCGTGTCTATTATATGAAGGTAATGTACACAATAGAGGCTACTTCAAACTGAATTTTTTCAATTCAATTTCAACTTTATGTGTTTTGTAATAATGTTGAAAATGTATTCAAGCTTAAATATTTATTTATTTGTATAAAATAGATATTATTATAATTCACTGCCTCATTAGCCGAGACTGCCTCATTGGCCGAGTGGTCGCAAGTGCGACTGCCGGGCAAGGGCCAAGGGGTCTCGGGTTCGATTCCCGGGTCGGGCAAATATTACTGGGTTTTTCTCATTGGTAGCACGGAGTCCGGAACTGTGCCCGGTATATGGCAATAGGCTCACCCCCTATTACATGGGACTCATAACATAAATAGTGAAAAGTGGGTGTTATATTACAGTGGCATTAAATGCCGTAATGTGCACCTCTGCCTACCCTTTCGTGGATAAAAGGCGTGATGTTATGTATGTTATTATATTCATTCACGATGATCTATAAAGCAGTAATAATCTAAAATTAGACAATTAATCACAAACTGTTGCACAACTCAAGTGGGTTTACATCAATCTATTTAATTCGATAAGAAATTCAATATGGTAGTTGACAGGTAAGTAGTCAAATTCAATACTTTTATTGAAATGTTAAAAACGCTACTTCAATAGAAGATTCCCATCTACACTACTATTCAGTTATAAGCTCATCCTAAACATCTGTTAATGGCTTAACTATCTGCCAATTTTATTTCTATCACGTTGTGCTAGAAAGCTTGCTGACAAATTAGGTCTCGCATTGTAGTACATAGCAGCACGTCGCTGCACCTCAAGATCGACCGGTAGTATGCACGCTAGATAGGGCCTCAGTGCTAACCGTCCTATGAGCCTTACACAGGAAAATCATTAATCAAGGCTAGATGCTGGCCTTGGAGATGTTTTCGCACCATGCAGTCAAAAGATGTAAAAAAAGAAACGTTAATGGCAATAAATTTTAGTCTAGTGAGCTGTAAAGTCTTACAAGCCTCTTAGCTAGTTATAAAAAATCGATAAACGTATTGTTATACGTTTGATGTACGTTACGTAGACGTACGTTATTTGCTTACGATGCCGAAGTAGGTACTTCACAAAAACTACGCGAGATGGCAGTGTATGTAATTTGGCGAAAGAATAAACCATAATATTCTTGTACGACGTGGGGAGGGGTTTAATCTTACAATTTTATGATGCCTACTACACCGGCCGCGCTAACATTTCTCGGGAAAACGTCATAGAGAGCCGAAACAGACTCGTGTCTGAAATCGAGACCTCTTTAGGGAGAATCTCTGATTGGGGTGGACTTAATTTGGTCCAATTTAACCCCACTAAGACACAAGTCTGCGTGTTTACCGCTAAGAAACTGCCGTTGGTCGTCTCTCCTCAGTTTCAAAGCACCTCCCTAACTGCCTCAGCCGGTATTGGAATACTTGGTGTCAACATTTCGAGCGACGTCCAGTTCTGCGGTCATTTAGAGGATAAGGCCAAATTAGCCTCGAGGAAGCTTGGTGTGCTCAATAGATCGAGGCAGTATTTCACCCCGACCCACCGCCTGCTTCTATACAAGGCACAGGTGCGGCCCCACATGGAATACTGTTCTCATCTTTGGGCGGGGGCACCCCAGTACCAACTTCTTCCTCTGGACCGCATTCAGCGGCGTGCCGTTCGGATTGTTGGATGTCCGGATGTTTCAAACCGGCTCGACACTTTGGCAATGCGTAGAGATGTAGCTTCATTGTGCATTTTCTACCGCTTATACCACGGGGAGTGCTCTGAGGAATTGTTTGACCTGATACCTGCCGCATCTTTTCGCCATCGACCCTCACGACAGCATATGCATCCCCATCATATAGATGGTTGGCAGGCCACAACTGTGCGGTTCTCACGTAGCTTCCTGCCTCGCACAGCAAAACTGTGGAATGATCTGTCGTCGGCGGTATTTCCGAACCGATACGACCTTCAAACCTTCAAGAGAAGAGCGTACTCCTTTTTAAAGGGCCGGCAACGCACCTGTGACTCTTCTGGTGTTGCGGGTGTCCATGGGCGGCGCTGATCGCTTACCATCAGGTGATCCGTCTGCTCGTTTGCCTCCTATTCCATAAAAAAAAAAAAAAAAATCTTACAATATTTGTTGCCTACCCTGTCTCGAAAACCTGTGCACTGTAGTATGCCATCGTAAGCGTATAACTATCCTACTTTTTGATCTATAGATTAGTTGCCGTTTTCAATGGAACTAACGTTCTTTTTTGTTCGCCTGAAAGCGCAAATGTGTAGTAGGACGGGATTTTTGTTCAATCGCTGCAGCTGTCAAATACTCAACGTCCAATGTTGTTACACTAGTGACTAGCTAATTCGCTATTGGACGAAGAGCGATATGTACACACTAGCACCATCTGGTGGTGAGCAAAACTACGGTACGGTAGGCCCCATTGCCAGGTGACCAGTCGCGGTACTATGTAGATAATCGGTCAAATGTTATATCAACGTTTTCATAACTGCCTGCAAGACCTTATTGGTCGATTTTGAGAATCTATTACATACTTACTTTGTACACCAATAAGCATCTTCTCAATACCAGACTTGTAACACTCAAAGGCTCGCTGGTAGTCACCCATATCTTCACACCGCGCCGCCAGATTCAACATATACCCAGCTTCAAACACATAACTATCCTCCGTCTTCGTCTTACACTCCGCGTTAGACAAGGACACGACACTTTTACTGTACAACGACACTCGCGAACTACTCCGTCTAGAGTCCACATCACAAGAAGTCGAGGAACAAACGTTAGAACTTAGAGACACTGTATCAAAATCATCATATTTTGACGTTGACGGTGCATCGAATATTATTAAGTCTGGTAACACTGATTTAGTTTTGACACTGGGCTTTTTATCCACTGTGAGTTTGTTTAGTTCGTCATAGAGGTCGCTGTCGATGCTTTCTATTGAGTTGATGGATTCGAAGCTGTCGGTCGGCGAGACCTTTTTCGGTGAACGTCGGATCTCGACGTCGGCTGCTTCGTAGATGGGTATTTGTGAGATGAAGTCTGGTTCGTCTCGACTTGTGATGGATGCGTGCGACGACTCTGTGGCTGCTCGTGCTGCAATATTATGATGGTGGGATGAGATACTACACTATATTACGTGTGTGTTTATTTGTGCAGGACATTACATACTAAGAATGATGAATTGTGTTAAGATTGTGTCAACTTTAGCGTGCTACTAGTCATTACAAGTCACTCTCCGCAACGATTTCCGTACGTCATCATTATCAATAATAGTTCAAAGCTGGACTATGAGCATAATCTATAAAAGTTTACCATGAATTGTACGCTCAACAGATGGAGAATATATATTCAGCATTAAAAAACTAACCAACTACCAAAATGGAGCAACGTGTATGTGTTGTGTATGTATTGTGCATAACAGTAAATCAGTACATCCTTATGTACAAATTGTCTATAAACTATTCGAATTATCTACTGATTCACGCGTGCAAAACTTCAAATTAATGGTACATACTACCAAGGTTTTTCTTTTAAATTTGAAGGGCCAACGTTTTCCACTATCCCGTCTGGTAGTAAGCGATGGTGCGGGACTCTACGATGGAGCATGTCGTATAGGCAACCTATTCACTCGGACCTTGAAGACAGCAAGTAAGAAATAACTCAAAATTTACCAGTATGTGTAGGTGTAGAAGTATCGTCATCATCAGTCTGATACTCCAATGGAGGTGTCTCCTCTATGGGCAGGTGTAAGGACGATCTGATCGCGTTGATCACTCCGCCTGCTTGAGGCGTCGGTTCAGGGTAGCCGGTCTGAAAACATGGAATTTTGGAATCAGTTTTCATGCTTATAAAGATCAATTTGCAATGCTTTAGCGATTAAGGGTAGCATTTCAAACTGAAAGGTTTCAGCGATTTTGAATTTAATTGTTGTGCCTATAAGGTACGATTTGGTGTATTCAGTCCTGATGCTAATAAGAATCAATGAACAATGTTTTTGTTAAGATAAATCGGGTTATTGGATTTTGTATTAAATTCCCATGACTATAAGAATCAATTTACAAAAGAACAAAGTTAGGAGGGTCATGGTATTGGAGTTTGAATTCTGTTCTCATGTACTTAAGAATCAATTTACAATATGGAAGAGTTAAGATTAAGAAACAACTAATTTGTACGAACCTGTAGGAAGTTGACAAAGTCAGTACTGGTGAATAGCAGTCGGTGTTCAGCTACAAACTCCAACAGAGACTTTATAGTCTTAGCTCGCTCCGTGATCACCTGGAACATTTTATTTGTACACGTACAATAGTGATACACCTCTTTAAAAATCTTATAAGATTCTTCTATCTCTTTCATTTCATTATTATCTTCAACAGTATGTCCACAGGACTGTGAGCCTCCTCTACATACGAGGGTAACACCTGCCAATTGGGTATTTGCCAATTAGTCAAATTAAATACTTTTTTCAAACTGTCAAAACGTCAGTTTTCTATGAATTTTGTTCGAGATTGTATGACGTCACATTTTGTTAAACAGTTTTATTTTATCTAATTTATTATAAAATCAATTAATGAAAGTAATTATTATTTAATATTTTATTTTTTATTTATTTAATACGCTTCATGCATAAAATGTACAAATAGACCTTTGGGTAATGCAGAGAAGAGTAAATGGTAGGTGCAAGAGGCAAGCAATGATTTTATTTAACAAATGAAATTGTATATATTGTATTGAACAGTCGAAATAATTTATTTTTGTTTAAGAAGAGTACCCAATTATGGGCAAGTATGGGCAGTCCATAATTGGCAGGTCGTAATGGATAAACTCCAATTGTAGTTTAACTCAACGTGTGTCTAACAAAACGTGGATCCACGGAAGACACATTGTATTTTCTATTGTGTCTTTTATACTCAAGCGCTTAAAACCCAAATCTCGGTTCTGCTATGCAGTGGAAAATAATATAATGAGGAAATACGTTCCAAGCGTTCACCAAAGGACCCAAATGTAACGTGAGGTCCTGTTTGTCCTATAGACAATTAGCTAGATTCAAACCGTATTACCGTAATGAGCATAATTTTTTACAGCTACATTTATTGGACAAAGCTGACCTTATGTCACACTAGCGCCATCTAATGAGTAGAAAAACTGTAGTGTTCATTGTCAAAGGATATAGTTCCATAGTCTTTCAACAAACCTCTTAAAAAACTACAATGCCAAATACTTTACTTGTACTGTTAATATTAATAACAATCAAAACAGACCTCCTGCTGGAATCTCTTGAAGAAGCTGTATCGTGGTAGAGATGGGAAGGTGCCTCGCAGGTGTAACCCTGCATGTAGGGAGCGCATGCTCTTGTGTAGTCTCTGGACATCACTGTACCTCTTCCACACCGATACCACTGTCAGAGCCTCCGGGGACTGGATCGGGAACAACTGGAATTGTAATATGTCTAATTAAAAATATATCCAAATTAACTAAAAATCGCGGGTTACTCACGTGAACATACTGAGAAAAGCTCTACTAGTTTCGAACCCGCGATTTTTAGTTAATTTAGTATGTCTCACGATCATCATCATCAACAGCCTATAAATGCCCACTGCTGAACAAAGCCTCTTCTCACACGGAGAAGGTTTGAGCATTAATCACCACGCTTGCTCAATGCGGGTTGGCGATTACAAACTTATAATCAGATATTATAATCCCAGGTTTCCTCACGATGTTTTCCTTCACCGTTTGTCAGTGGTGTCTAAATAATCTTGGAAAGTACATATAACTCGGAAAAAGTCACATTGGTACTTGCCGTTGGTAGGTTTCGAACCCGCATTCTCATGCATGACAAGCTAGCGTTTTAAACCTCCGGGCCACCACGACATATATTGTATGTACACGACATATGTCTCACGATAGTTATTACAAAAATATATCCAACTTCGGGGCTTCGGACTCATTACTGTGGGACAAAAAGTAGCCTATGTCGTAGTCCACACCATAATCTACCCCGGGAACTATTTAATCTTGATGCCTTCAGCCCTTTTGAAGTGATTGAGTAATAAGCAAACACACAAACTTTCACATTTATAACTTTAGTAGTATAGTGTTCTTGAAGAACAGCTTTATAAACACCATACTCAATCAAAAATGAAGAATTCTACGTATATTATAACCTTCCACAAAAATCATACATAAGAAGTGCATAAAAAGCGATCAGTATTTTACGACTTTGTTATGAACGTACAGACATACAATTAAAAAGAGGACTTTCATTTGATAATTTTTATTGATGTGAGTAGGTATATGGATAGGGTATTAGAGTTTTGGAATATTTTTATTTGAGTTAGTTACTGTGAGGATAACATGTTATCCTCATAGTAACTGTTATTATTATTACCAGGAAGTCAGTGTTTTAAAGGATAGTGCGAAACTAATATATGGAGTCTGGTTCGATCTAAGTACTAGCTTCTGCCAGCGGTTTCGCTCGCGTTCCCGTAGGATAAAAAGCCTATGTGTTATTCCAGACCATAATCTACTCTTGTTCCAAATTTCATCTCGATCCCTTCAGCCGTTTTGACGTGAAAGAGTAACAAACAAACACACACACACACACACCCCACACACACACACACACACACTCACACCCCATCGCACACACTCACACCCCATCGCACACACCCACACACATTCTCGCACACACCCACACACACCCTCGCACACACCCACACACACCCTCACACACACTCACACAAACACGTGCGCGCGCGCGCACACGCACACGCACATACACAAAACTTCCTCATATTATTAGGATGTAGGATTTTTTTTTTTTTTAAGGGGGGAAAATCATCGAATGACTGCTCCCGCCTGGGTGAGGCGGAAGGGAGTGTCACACTCTTACTGACTAAAAACCACCCCGTTCCTTCTCCTGCACGTCGAGCCGGAACCCCGGTTACCCGTTAGGTTCTCCGCGACTCCGAATCGGCATCGGCCCTATTGGGCCCCATCTGTGGTGGTCTGATGGCTCTTTGAGGCGCGCGCGGAACGCGACGCGCCGTACGCTCGGGTCTGTTTCTGGTCGGACGGGGAGCCACCCATGCTCGCCGTCCGCAGGCCCGCGCTTACGGTGGCCGGAGATCGTCCCGCGATCCCCGACCCCCGGTGTGTCCTTCGCGATGGCTGGGTTGCGAGGAGGCAGCGCTTCGATGCCTCACGCGTCCCGCCTCCTCCTTAGCTAGCATGACTGCTTCGCAAAAGGAGGAGACGGCATCCCAGTCAGGATGTAGGATAGGATATTATTAGTAGGATTGGATAGTACCTATATCACCATGCAGTTAAATGTCTTTTAATGGAACATTAGTTCCTATGGTCAAATGTTAGTATGTTCATAAATACGACGTCCTAAACTCATATCAGATTTTAGAAATATTTAAGGATACTACTTACACAATTTTTTAATTTGGTATCTTTATATAAGTAGTAGGTAGGTTGTTATCATAATATAATTAAGTGAACTACAATCATCAACAATGACCTCTGAGTTTGTTTTGGCGATTCTTCTCAGAGTAGTCTGTTAGGAAATCACCCTCGTCTAGTAATTTAAATCGGCCCTCATCTAATAATTTAAAGATTGATGTGTAAGTGTTACTTTGTAACTTATTTGCAGAAATAAATATCATTTCATTTCATTATTTACTTTACTCCGGATCACTTTCTTGTGAAATGTTTTTCTTTCTTTCTTTCTTTCTTTCTTTCTTTCTTAGGAACATTATAGGCACTATAACTCCAAAACCATGGACATTTGACCTTACTCATAATCCTAAGTTTTATTCTGCATAAGAACATCTATTCATAGAGGGGTATCTTATTTCTATTGAGCAGTTGGCCCAACAATACCCAATGCTCCTTAAACAAATTATAATAATAAATAGCTTCAGGATGAATGTCCTATCATTTCTATAGCTTGCAAGTCTAATTGCAAAGCAATACAATAATAGAAATCATTTCTTGTTATCTATACAAGTAATTGCAATATTTTTATTGACATCTTCATATTATCTTTGAGAGGTATTTATATTAAGCTGTATATAGATAGGATACAAGAAAAAAAAAAAGGATTCACACTGGCTGTATGTGGCATGTACAAAAAAAAGTCCCTAGAAGTTTATGGCTAATCCTGAAGAGTGCACAATATTGTTGGTTTTATTTTACCTAATAATATGTAATTGATTTCAATAAAAATATAGGTCACTGCTATAGAGTACTGGCTGTTCCCCATGATTTTATCCTCATAGAATACCGACTTCTAAGAGAATATGGATTTAACTCATCGAGTACCGTCATTATAGACACAATTATAGAACAATAGTTTGCGGTCACCGGTGACCGCTTGGTGCTTGACAGTTTAATAAGTGTATTGAGCGATATAAGGATCTTCTTGGTAGATTTTCACACATCGGGTTACATTCGTGTTAACATAAAAGAATTTTTCAAATCAGGCCAGTAGTTTCAGAGCCTATTCAATTCAAACAAACAAATGAAATTTTTACTCTTTATAATATTGGGTATATAAGGTATGGTATGTTCAAATGACATCAAATCACAATTAAATGTGATATAAAAATTTGTTATTGTGCAATTTGATGAATCATTCCATTTCATAATTTAACATTTTATTTGAAATTAAATTAGAAATTAAAATTTATATAGATCTGGCACTAGAAATCTCTTTTTCAGCTTTCTTTAAATGTCCATTCACTTTGCCCTAGATAATATGCAAATATTCAAAGTTAATAAAAAGATGATATTATTGAATGTGTATTTACAAATATGGGAGCACTAGGATAATAATATCTAATATCGTGTAATTCCCATGATTGGCAAGTTAAATTAGTATTTACCACAGAAGTAATCTTGTAAATAGTAAATCCATTCTTGTGTTTTGCTGTTTCGTCAACCGAGAACCGGCGTACCCACTTGTCTTTAGCCGACATTGCAATATGCGCCAGTTTTATTGAAATCTACACTATCACATCACTGTTGTTGATTAAAACCAATCGTATACGACATTTAGGTAATAAATGCCACAGCAATTATGTGAAATTATCTAAATAAATTCACACAACCCAGTAATCGAATTGTCGATTAATTTTTGTGAGTGAGGAAAACTAGTACACAAAAAATTGCATTTGCATGCGCGTTCCAGCGTCGTCCGATAGGAAGAAATGTCAGAATTTAAACGTCACTACTGCCATATCTATCTTGCTTACTCTTTTTTTTCATATAAGAAAATTATTTTTGTCTCTTTTATTTATGCTTCACTATTTGTTTACATTTTTTTTGTTTGTTTTTGACATCAAAATAAAACATTGCCAAACTGGTTTCGTAATACAAAATAATTTATAATAATTTATTAGGGTAAATGCCCCTATATAGATACATACACATTTTGGAGTAAAAGCATCAGCTGTTAAAAATCTTTTAATTATAATATTGTTAGGTTCGCCTTTGGTTTTGAAAATATTTTATTTTATATCTCAGCGATTCTCGATAGTTAACCAATACTTAAATTGCTCCGGACTGGACTAGCCGAATTTAAAAGTAGTTTGTTATTATTTCTAGGTCCTAGAAATAAGGAGGTCTATATCTGGTAAGAGAGGCTGTTTTGGTATCAGTTATACTTCGCTTTCAACAGATGTCATTCTTATCTCCATCGTTAAATTTCATTCCAATGCCTAGGTGTCGCTTGTGTCGCTTTTAGCACATTGAATAAGTTTTTACAAACATAGTGTACTTTCTTTACATTTTTACTGACGAATGGGATGTTTCGTATTACCGCTTTTTGCTTAAATAAATCTAATGACAACTTGCAGATACATCTAGCAAAAACAAAAAGGTAAAGGTGCTATAACAACACGAAGGCGATAGGTCAAGCTTGCGGCTTCATTACTTATCCCCCACTCTTTACTCACTTAACCGAATGGCGCGCGGCGAGTGGTTGTGCCAACTTGTGTTTCGTCCGTTCCGTGTCGTGTTTCTCGCGTCCTCGAGTACTTTGCAATAATACTTTTCCTTCGAGACATGAATGGATTCAGTGCTGCGTTAACAGACAAGCCTTAAGAACGCTTGTACAAAGGCTTTATTTAAAGAAAATGTGTTATCAATAACGTGTGACTTCTTTTTGTGTATAGTGTTCGAAAAAAGTTAAGTAAACAACCGGATATCAACAAGATGGGTTCAAAAATCGAGTACGTGGATTCATCACATTTATACGCGACCAACTATGTCCGCAATTCGAAAGCTATCGGTGTGCTTTGGGCGATATTCACGATTTGCTACGCGATTATAAGCGTTGTGGCTTTTGTGACCCCCGAGTGGATTGGTGATTTAGAGACTGAATATCCGAGAAAGTTTGGATTGTGGCAGACATGCAGAGCAGACGAGGCTCTCGAGGACTGTAAAGGAAGACTCGATGATTTCCTATCAATAAATGGTCTTGTGTTCAAGATTGCGACTGTGTTAGTAGGCATAGCGGTCGCCCTGGCCCTGTTTACTATCTGTGCAATGTTGTTATTCTTCTTTTGTCAATCGACGACGGTGTTTCACATCTGTGGTTGGCTGCAGCTGTTGTCTGGTAAGTTTAAGTGGGTAGTACCTGCATTAATCACTTTACTTACATTGAATAACTTAAGCCTTTATCTTTATCTTAACTATATGTCACCGCATCTGATCTACCGAATACGAAGAACGGTATTGTTTGTACAGTTCCCATTTCCAATATGTACAAACCGGTTATTAAACGAGGGTAGTGGCACAACAGACTCCAAAATTGTCATTTTTATCGACTTCAGAATCGGCGATAATTTGTCCTGAGTGAAAGTTTTGCATATAGTGGCCTGACCTTGGTCTGTGTTGGTTGTTAAACAACTATTGTGGCGAACGTAGGAGATATGCAACAGTGTGTGGAATGTGTGGAACAGACAGGTGTGGTGCAGGTACAGGGGCTAAGCATCCGGTGCAGGACAGGTGTTAGATGCCAGTGTCTATATCCCGGAGTTACCTGCTAACGGCAAAAATGAAAGGCGTTTAAAATGCCAAAGTTGACGTGACTAACAAGTTAACAACTGAGGACATTGGACCACCGTTTATACACAGACTATTGAATTCAACAGCGAATTATTCAATGACGATAAAATACCGCCTCTTATTTTCAATGGTGTATTGTTTGTTACCTTATTGTATGTAACACTTTTTATCACGAGCTATTCACAACTTAAAATGTATTTTTATAGTATCGCAACAAAACTACTTAAGTTAGCAATTTCTTTGATCTCTTAAAAATTTATGCCCATTCTAAGTAGTATCTAAATTTAGAGAAAATTAGAGAGCCTACATAAAAATGAAGAAGGAAAGGTATCTACATAAAGCCCAAAAATAATAATGACTGCTCCACCTCAGTACTTACAACTTAACTAAAGATTTCGTTAATGTCTCGTTAATAGAAATCGTTATTTGTTTAATCATTCTATTAAATATATTGAAGGTATGTAGGAAGAGGAAACTAACAAAAACTAAATTTAATTAAGTAGGTGTAATAAAAAAATTCTGTGATTTCATAATTACCTGCGTACCTACTCAATAACGTACATATATTTCATTCTTTGAATACGATACTCTGCGTATCAAATATCGTCGAATGAGTGAACATAATCTGCTTATGGACAAGTAACAAGCGATGCTTACTGGAAAATTTAATCCAATAGTGGCCAAGTATGCCTTCTTTCAAAAAATATTAGTCGGTAGGTAACAAAAATTGAGTCTTCAATGTTATTAAGGAAGTTTCGGGATAGCAGTTAGGTTGCAATATTCAGTCAGTTTTTGTGGCTAGGTTAGACGAAGTTTTCGACATCTATACTTGAGTCCAAAATCTTCATCACCACCAAAAATGTCCCTAGATGTTCGATGGGTCCAATAAGTGAACCAAAACTACCAAAATTGCTTGCATAAAGTTATTTTTATTGAAGCCTCACCTTGGTACAGGTTTTGGCACACCTTCCTCTAAACTTAGGTAAACATTATGTGTAGGTATGTAGTTAGGTATTCGAAGGAATTCTCCACTTACGGAAAAAGGCGCGCCAATCGCCAATATTACCAAAACCAACTGTCGAAAGTTTTAGTAAACAATTTGGAAAATGTATTGACATCTATGTTTTTATAATAACTATTGAGTGAGACATACTAAACCAACTAAAATCACGGGTTACTCACGTGAATATAGTTACTGAGAAAAGCAGCGTGCGCGGTCACGCACGGAGGGAAAGACTTATGAGGAAGAACCCCTCTGTGGTTCGAAACTGGTAGAGATTTTCTCAGTATATTCACTTGAGTAACCCGTGATTTTAGTTGGTTTATTAACATATAGATTATTAAATTTTGCTTTCGCACAAACAACAGCAATTTCTTTAACATTAATTAAATACGAACTGAAGGTGTTAGCAATTCGGATTAAATTGAATGAGTAGCTTAATTTCTATACTCCAATTATCAAAAAGCGTTCACTAGAACAAATTGAATTAGATAGCGCCAATTTATCTGCAACCGTGTGAGTAATAGCGAACGGACAACGAAACCGGTAAAACGCCTTTGTCATGCAACAAAAATTTCATACAAAAGTGAAGCTCAACTTGTAGCTAATCCATGTTAAAGAAGCGTTAACGATTCTGCATTTATTAACTGGTTTATAAATGTAATCATCTTGTTGAGTGCATGATGGCGTAATTTGTTACCTACATAAGTATACCAGAAGAAAAACGTCTGACTCAGACATTATTTTTTGGCACTAGATATTGACGTTTTATATCGCACAGTTCAATAAAGACCTGTCATTAAGTCTTCAAAATCATCGACAGAAGTTACAAAACCAATTCCACTTGATAATACCCCCTTTTAAGGCCAATAATGCGCAGGAAGCAGCCATTGATGCGCACGACCTGTGTTAACATAATATCGCACAATTGCCAACGAAGCCCCATCTATGTGTGACCTCATCAACTCGCGAGTTCACTACTCATGAACCGCTACGTGACCGTAAAAAAAGTTGTATGGAATAAACATACGTTTGTTCAAGAGGTGCGGCGAACTAGATTTTCTGCGATGTGTTAATTGTAAGCTGGGAAATCGCAACTATCTTATGTATTGCAAAAGTAGATTTCTAATAATTAGCGTTATTTTAACATTTTTGTCAAATGCTGTTAATAATTCATTTTGTTAGACACATCTCCAGATCTAAAATAATATTAAAGTCCAAGTTATTTTGATATAAAACATTCAAGCAAATCTATCGATTATGATATGTGTATGTGGCAGTACAGTAGTAACTCTTTCGCCTAATTAACAATCGTAAAGATTTAAAATTATTCAAAAAGCGTATCCAATGAAAATTGCTTGTTTGAAAGCAATCTACACATTCAAACCAAGGCCAACTCTCGAATAATTTCAGATATTCTAATCTAGATTGTAATGATTATTCTGTCATTGAACACAAAAGAATATTGCGTAATTACAAAAAGCTACATAAGTAAAAATAAACTGCTACGCACGTGCAATGATTTTGCCGCTTTTGCCGCCTAATCCCATTTAGCGTCATAAAAAGTAAAAGTCGTGTACAATTGTCTATGATATAATAATGGCGGACATTCAAGTTCCGGGCCATATACTGCAACTACGGCGCTACAATTAAAATTGTTAGATTTTATTTATAGCAACGCATATATTATACAAATGTGGACATTAATTACATGTGTTTCTTATTTACTTAATACCTAATCATCAAATGGTGATTAAAGCGTCATTAAATTTATTATAATTTAGTATGATAAATCGTAATGTAATGAGAAAGATTTAATGCTATGTTACTTACTGTAGTTTTGTATATATAAATCAAGAAAAAACGTATCCCGGTAGCTGTCAGCTGACAAGCTACATTACTCTAGAATAGTGCAAGCTTGTTGACAGGGTTGCAACTGTTGGAAGTATCATTATTAATTGACATCGTGGGAGCTTTAGTCGGTCTCTGTTCTTAATTGGACGCTATTTAATTAAAGCAAATACAATATGTATAGTAAATATTATTTAGGTTAAGTACGACAATGCTCGCCCGCCTTTTAAACATTCCCGAAAATAAGAAAATAAAGCTCCAAAAACGAGAAAAATCGCCATATAAGTAGGTACTATTTAGTACACATATGTTTAAACTTTTAAGGTTTTAAGTACTTATCTGATCTTGGCAATCGGTAAGATGGACGCCAACTAGTTGGTGGACGCGTACAGGCGAATTTTAGTAGGGCGGACGCGAATAGGCAAACTTACCCTAAATTATATACTTTTTTAAATCAAAGAGAAATTGAAGTCAATCTTAAAAAAAACATTTTATTACCAAAAATTTGTTCACAATTCAATTGTTTAGAAAGTTAGTAGGTTACCTTGGTTACAATCAAAATAAATAAGATCAATATTGCTATTATGAAATCTTTTTAATGTAAAACAATTACGATTGTACTAAAAGTACTTACTTTCCGATTACGTGAAAAGGTTTAAGTCTAAAATTATATTCGCTTCAAATTGTGAAATCGTTTTCACTTCGTCCCATATCGAATGATCTGATGATGATTGTGAATCGATTACCTGAACCGTAGCGATAAATATCGAGAAAATTTTGTACGATGAACTTGTAAGAAATGTAAATTTTTTCAATCAAGTACTCAAGTTTGAACTTACTCAAGTTAAAACTGTAGGTACTTAAGTACTGCACAAGATGGCATGATTTTCAATTTCAACGTCTTTGGTCCTTGGTCATGATGATGTTCACAGTACACAGTGTATCAGTGTATCGCAGATCGCCATGTGGACGTAGTTGCAAAAAGGTGTAAGCATGAAGTAAGCATAAGTGCTGTCAAAAACGTTTTAATTTGTAGCTGGCAATTTGACAGTCTTAAACTTTTTTTAAAGATTTTTGACAAGTTGTCACATTTTTAGCAAACAATCGGCAAGATAGCAGTTTTGGTAATTATCTAACTTTGGAGAATGTTTTTTTGATAAGTTATTTACTTTTTTACACCAGAGCGCATATCTGAGAGTATTACTTAAACATGAACCCACTTACAACATTCCCTGACGATGACATGTGTCCTAAGATCACTGAGGAGATCGGCGCTTTTATTAAAGCGTCGAAGGATCAGCCAAAAGCAACTGAAAAACCAATTTCAGAAGAAGGTAAAAAGATAGAGGCCGAGCAGAAACACGAAACCGAGGCGACACAAAAACCAGAGCCACGACCGCCACAACCTCAACCAGTAGATGTAGATAACCCCAGAACTTCGGTAGTAGTTCACGAGCTCAACGCGCTGAAACCAGGACCCGATGGGAAAGTGGATTGGACACCGCTTGGCGACCTCACTGGAACTAGGCCACCGGTCAATAAGTATTCTTTAAGTAGGTATTCACTAGGAGAATGGAGAAGGCACAATGAGAAGGTGTTAAACTCTGACGTAGTGACCGAGTCAAATGTCGTAGACTATAACGCCAAGACGTCTATGATGCAAGCATTCGGCACGCTCGATAAGCAGCAAGCAGAAAACAACAAGCGACTCAAACAAAAAGCTAAAGATATTTTCCGGTGGAAGGTGGAAGTAGAACGCGCCTGCAAAATGATAACGGAGGAAGTTGAATTATTAGAAATAGAAAGACAACGACTGAAGGGCGCCTCTAAAGTATTAATGTTGCCTCAATCGATCTCTAAACAGTGTCTCGAAATGCGATCGAACAGGTCGCAGCCGGACCTCGTAGCAGATCTAGCCGAGATACAGCTCGTGAAGGAAATGAATCTGGTGAATGAGGTAAGAGAAACTTTGAAGACAACTTTGAATCAAATAGAAGAACAACTAAAGATCAATAAAGCAGCTAAGCACAGGATCGAATACGACTGGTGTGATAAAACTATGGCGTATAATACAGACACTATCAATTTGAGTCTTAGCACCAAGTCTAGCACTATACTGTTTCGACCTGGATCTACAAGATTTGGTGAATTTTCAGCACCACTGGAATACTGGGAGTACTTTTGTAGAGAAAACATCGAAAATTGTGAAGCAGTGCGACAAAAGTCCGCTGACCTCAGAGGTAGTTTGAACGCTATTTTAGTAAATAACGGCAGAAAGCTACGTAACCAGGCGGATAAAACTGACGTGGCTTTGGCCGAAACAGTAGCTCTTACAACTGAACTGTGTACGAAGTTAAAAGAGAATTTAATAACCACTTTGCAAAAAATAGCTGACATGGAAAGTTTGATCCAAAACCTACAAGACGCGGTAAGGAAAACAGATGCAGCCATGAAGCTGGCTCAAACTAGGCTCGACAACAGAAATAATTGGAGGCCTCACGGCGAAAGTGTAAGGGACCAACCGCACATAGGTTTAATCGAAGAGGTTAAAAAAATACATGAAACAGTCACATCCCTTCTAGGACAGTTGAAAAATGCGGAGAGAGTGAGAGGAGATTTAATAGCGAAAAGAATTATGTTGGAGAAAGATATCGCATCAAAGAATAAGACATTGATAACAGACAGAGAAAGATGTGGAATGGTACGGTCGCATTACCCGTCTGCTTCAGAACTGGCTGGTCTATGAAAATTGCATGTTACATTTTGTTTTACTAATCATTGTTGTGAAATAATATCAATTTTGTATATTTTTGTTTAAATTTTTAGATTCTGTATCGTTGTTATATAAAATATACATATTTTTCGGTATTCCTTTAGTTTATTTTTGGGACTAGTACATACTAATAGTAAAGTAGTGATTACCCACCCTTTCGAGGTAAATAAGAAAAGTAATTAGTTATAACCATTTGCAATGAAAATACAACAACGAAAACAGAATATGAATACTTTCGTCACACTTTATTACCCCGACCGAAAGACAGATTTAACAATTTAACACTATCATGGGCCAAAGCTGTTATATTTATAAATCTATGGCCAAAGCCCAGTCCAAAGACTGGAAACCAAAAAGTATAATAAGTCTAATGGTAACTGCGAACCGGTGCGTTCTTAACTGTATAGCTATAGCTACTGTGTCTCAGGCCACTATAAATAATCGATAATAAGAAAAATGAAATAGGAAATGTCAAATTGAACAATATGTCATTGTTTGATAGACAGATTTCGTCTAAAGTATTTTTTCTTATGTAAAATACATTTTTACAGTAGACTAGAATTATAAAGAAATCAACCATGCTGCAACCAACTTCATTTCCTGACAAAGAACAATGCCCAACGAAGCAGGAGATGGCAGCTTATAAGCTGTCTCAAAAGTCTCCTACTCATGTTTTGCAAGAAATAGAAGAAGCCAAGGAGCAACAGCGAGAAAAAATGGTAACTGTGGATGCTCCAAAACCGGCTGAAGCTGCAGCTGATCTAAAGATGAAACAAGAAGAAATTAGGCGAACGCGTCCAGAACTTGCAGGAATAGATGATTTCCATTATTTACCAAACTTGAAGCCAGGACCAGACGGCAAGGTTGACTGGTCGCCGCTCGGGGACATGACTGGCACCAGACCGCCCGTTAATAAATATTCCTTAAGTAGATATTCGCTTAGTGAGTGGAGAAAACACAACGACTCTGTTTTAAATCCAGATATTATAAATGAATCTAATATCGTACAATATAATGCTAAATCTTCTATTATGCAAGCATTTGGAAATATCGATAAAGAGCAAAACGAAAATGAGAAACGATTGAAACAAAAAGCAAAAGATATATTTCGGTGGAAAGTAGAAGTAGAGCGAGCTTGTAGTTCTATCACTCAAGAAGTCGAATTGCTAGAAATCGATAGGCAACGTCTAAAAGGTGCTTCTAGAGTACTGATGTTGCCTGAATCAATTTCCAAAGAATGTTTGGATTTACGTTCAAATAGATTAGAACCAGACTTGGTTGCTGATTTAGCTGAACAAGAGTTAGTCAAAGAAATGAAACTTGTAAATGAAGTTAGAGCTACAATTAAGCAAACTTTAGCTAAAATAGAAGACCAATTGGCAGTAAACAAAGCAGCAAAACATAGAATAGAGTATGATTGGTGTGATAAAGCTATGGCCTATAATACAGAATCTATTAATTTAAGTCTCAATACTAAGTCGTCTACAATATTGTTTAGACCGGGCTCTACAAGGTTTGGTGAATTTAGTGCACCTCTAGAATATTGGGAATATTTCTGTAGAGAAAACGTACAAAATTGCGAAGCAGCTCGTCAAAACTCTGCTGACTTAAGAGGCAGTTTAGACGCTATACTAGTGAACAATGGTCGAAAGTTGCGCAACCAAGCAGATAGAACTGATATGGCATTGGCAGAAACTGTAGCTATTACTACAGAACTGTGCACAAAACTTGAAGAGAATCTGAGAAGTACTCTCCAGAGAATTGCTGATATGGAGGCTTTGATAGAAGATTTGCAAGCATCTGTTAGGAAGATGGACAATGCGATGAAGTTGGCCCAAACTAGACTGGACAATAGAAATAATTGGAGACCTCATGGTGAAAATGTTAGAGATCAGCCGCATGTCGGTTTGATAGACGAGGTGAAGAAGATTCATGAGACTGTGACGTCACTTCTCGGTCAGCTGAAAAACGCTGAGCGATTGAGAGCAGGATTGGTGAACAAAAGAAATGAATTAGAAAGAGCTATAGCATCGAAGAGGAAGACTCTGAACATAGACCGAGACCGATGTGGAGTAGTGCGCTCCCACTATCCCTCAGCATCGGAACTTGCTGGATTTTGAGTTAGCCATATTATATTTGAGTAACGGCTATACTTCAACTTTCAATTCGAAAAATCGATGTCAACTCGCTCGTGATCGGCCATGTCATTGGTTATGAGAATATTCTCGACCAATGACGGGCAACAATTCGATCGAGCTCACTCCGAAAGTTCGGATGTAGATACAGAATAACTTAACTGTAGGTATCTTTCGATAATTGTATGTATGATGCGTTTGTCATTCCCTTCGGGAAATACGCAGCGTCTGTGTGTTGTACTTTAGCTATTATTTGGAATACTTATACTTACGTAATATATTTTTAGACTATTATATTATTATGCGTTAAGCTTAACATTCGTTTTATTGACAAACAATATTAACAGAAGACTTCGTTGATAATTTTTGTTAGGGGCGAAGTTTGGGCAAACTGTACGAGTACACAGCACGACCTGACGTTTGACGTAGCCATTCCAAGTATGAAAAAGCTTACGTAAGCAATCGCAGCTCATTTCAGACATAACAATCGTGTCGGAGTGCCACTTGCCAGAACCTTTCACTCTTTATTATTGTTTTGCACATCATTTACTCGGAGTACGCTCATACAACTGCCATCAAGATAAGGATTACAAACACTTTGCTTGCGTAAATACTAAAATAACATTACGAGTATAAGCCTAGAGTATAACAACCAATACTGGCTTAGTAACGTGCTTAGTAACGTGTTTCTTCTGTTTGACATAGGAATAATAAAATTAAAATGGATCTAAAACATAAGGCACCTATCACTGTTTTTATAATAACTATCGTGAGACATACTGTGGCCTTCGAACCTTTTATTTTTTTTTAAAGACTGCATTTGGCGGTCTGATTGGTTGGTTCATTGGAGCCGGCCAATCAGAGGCCTTAGTACGAGTTTGATTTACGTTCAAAGTATTCGAAACGAGAACGCGTTCGGCGCTCTGATTGGTTGCTTCATTGGCGCCGGCCAATCGGAGCGCCGAACGCTTACTCGTTGCGATTACTTTTAACGTAAAAAAAACTCGTACTAAGGCCTCTGAATTAACTAAAAATAACGGGTTACTCACGTGAGTATACTAAGAAAAGCTCTACTAGTTTCGAGTCATAGAGGGACGATGTAGCAAAGAAGGCTGCGCGGCATCGCCGCGACCGTGCACGCTGCGCATGAAGAAGAGTCCCTCTATGACTCGAAACTAGAAGAGCTTTTCTTAGTATACCATTATCACAAAACATGAATAGACCTCAGAGCACTCGACTTCATAGAACTTAAACATCAAATAAAATTGTACCATTACTCACAAAGATACCAAGATAGCAGAAGAACAAAATATACGTATGCCTTCTAGAGGTTTTAATGCTCATAGGTACCTATAAAATGCGGAAACGGAACCTTTAGTGTGATAGTATCAAATAGCGTCGAAATCCAAACTATAAGTAAGTTATCATTTCCAACAATACAGGGTCTCACGAGCGATGAGAACGTAACAACAATACGCTACTGACCTTTGTATGAAGCAACCATTCTCCCATCACTCGCTGGAAGACACTGAATCCCATAATTTGATCAAAGATACTTGCTGCTAAAATTACACAGAAGCTTTTTATCTTGAAACCGTTAGTTTTGGATGGTAGTAGTAGATAAAGATTGCGATTCTCCATTGATTTGTGTCGTGTTATGTGCTAATTATATTAGAGTGAGATGTTCATGGGTCTGCGAACAGTTACTACTAAGCAATACTGTTCAGGAATCCTCTATAGTCATTGATGTAAATGAAAGTAGTGTTTCACACCAAAAAGTATCTACTTATCTGTAGAAAAACTCCTGGCCACTTAATAAAACTATTTAATTATTCATTGAAAAATCGAAAGATATGTCATTGTCATTATGACAATATTAGTTGCACGTAACATAAGTCTTTTTAATTTTAATTTTTAATTAATTAATTTTTTACTCTGATACTTTTCTAAATTCTTGTCGAGATGTCACAACCAATGGCTTGGAATATGGATAAATTAACTTGCCCCTATATCTGTCCGAACGCACCGCCGAGTAATTTTGACAAGCCGGTCTATTTAAAAGGTGGCCATAGAAAATCCCATGACAATCCTTTTGCTTCTCCATACGTCCCTGGTTCTGTCCAACCACCGGAGAAGAAACAATACCCTCCTGATGCACCACCGCGGTACCTCCCTCAGCAAACGGACAGCACGAGTGGGGACGTCCTCGGCATGGGACCCATTGGACCGTGGGCTGCTGGCCACTTAGACTGGACTCCTCAAGCTGGGATGACAGGTGTCCGTCCTGTAGTAGACAAGTATTCCATCACACGTTACTCTACTGGAGAATGGAGACGAAATAACTTACGCACTTTAACTCCAAGAGCTACCGACAAGGCTAAAGCTTTAGACACCTCTATTAAAGGGGATTTAGCAAAAGCTATAAAAGGCATGGACGACATGCAAGATGGTTGTAACAAAAAATTAAAAACGAGAGTCAAGACTTTGGCTCATTGGAAGAAACAGGTGCAGAATACACTTAAAGCTATAAGCGATGAGATTGAAACATTAGATGCCAACAGACAAAAATTAAAAAGTGCTAGTAGAATATTAATGTTGCCTGAAGCAATTTCTAGAGAGTGCTTAGAGCTTCGGACGTTCAGATATGAACCAGATTTGGTGAGAGATGATGCTGAACAAGAATTAATTAAAGAAGTGTCTATTGTTGGAGAAATAAGAAGAGTCTTCCAAGAAACTCTAGCCAAGGTCGAGGTACAAATGGCGAATAACAGAGCTGCTAAGGCAGCTATTGAGATTGATTGGAGCGACAAGATATCCACTTTGAAAATAGATAATCAAAATTTGAATTTAACACCCGATTCTAATCTAATACTCCATCATCCAGGTGTCGCTCGTTGGCCGGAGAACGCAACAAGTTTAGAGTATTGGGAACATTATTGTAAAGAGAGTATTAGAAATTGCGAGGAAGTAAGACAGAAATCTGAAAACTTGCGAGGAGACTTAATGACAATTATTGTCAAAGGATCCCAGGACATGAAAATTCAAGGTGATAGAACTAATCTCGCGTTGGCAGAAACAGTGTCCGCTACAGAACAGCTTTGCGCAAAACTAGAGGAAACTTTAAAGGACAATTTGAAAACAATCGCAGATGTGGAAAATCTCATTGATTACTTGAAGGAATCATTAAGGAATATAGACGAGCGTGACAAACTGTCTAATACGAGGCTACTCAACAGAAATTACGGGCGCCCCAACGTAGAGAACTGTCGGGATGAAGCTCAATATGGTTTGATGGGAGAAGCCAAGTTTATCAAAGAAACCGCAGACTCTTTAAAGGGTAAGCTGAGAGAGGCTGAAGCGGTGAGAGCGGAACTTATGAAGTATAGAGGTGAATTGGAGAAGGATATAGCTTGTAAAAGGAAGAGTCTCAATATTGATCAAGATAGAATAGCTCGGGTACGCGCACATTTACCCACTCCAGAGGAATTTGCCAATGCTTGAGAAGGCCAGGATTTTTAAGGATTATAAAAATCATTAAGTAGTTACAATGTGCGTTTAATTTCAAATTTTTAAACAGCTGTTTAGTTGTAACAGTAGAAAACATTTGTTTCGATAAAGATTCTCTCTCGTGGCTTACGTTACTGAGTTAATGGATTTATGTAAGAAGCTTTCAGGTTTATTACGAGGTTTAACCGACACATTTACTTAGCAGTTATGTTCAAGTCGTTGTGTTTAATATTTCGTTTGGTACGTCAGTTTTATTATTTCCTATAGCTGTATTTACTGCATCTTTGTAATTTGTTTTAAGTTGCGTACAATAACTTAATTCGATGCAAGTAAAAGACAGTCAGAACCTCAAGCAAATATTTGTATTTGCTTCATGTACAGAATTCAGAATGTAAAACTTTATCGTCTACCGCCGACTCTGTAGCGGTTTTTATCTCATCAAGCACAATTAACTGAAAAGTGGTTTTACGTGTTACAAATTATTTAGTTTGACAATTTCTTCTTCTTCTTTTTTCTTTTTTATAAAAAGTTTCGCCACATTAGGATTTTCATCTATGTCGTGGGCGCGTTGACATACAATTTCACATACACATGATACCCAAACCCGAAACAGCAATTTGCGGATCACACGAATGTGCGACACGTTGCACGGCAGTGAGTTGCCCAGCCACTGCGCCAACCATGCAGTCGTGCAGCAGTTTGGCATTTTCTATCTGTCAGTCAATATTGAGGTACATTAGAGGTCCGAGTTATAGATGCTTGTTCTCAAAATTGGTTCTTATTTCGTTACTTATAAAATTATCTCTTTAGTTCCTCACAAGTTTGGCGGCACGGTTGGTGCGGTGCCTAGGCAACTGGTTGCCGCGCAGTATCGCATTCGATTCCCGCACGGAACAACTATGTGTGATCCACAGATTGTTGTTCTGGGTCTGATTGTCAAGTGTATATGAACTTTTTGGAAACGCATCGACGACACAGGAGACAATCCTAGTTTGGGACAACGTTGTTTTTTTTTAAATGTTTCAAGTGACGACGAATACCTAAGTAAATATTCTTCACCGCACTTTAATCTGATTTTGCACGGGTTGCAAGATTCCCATTCAGATCCATTCATTGTTGGTTATATTAGCGGTTGTGCCACAAAGTACACGACTACATATTGAGTCATATAAATCCAGTTTATCATGGTCCCGCTTTCTATGATCTTTCAGCACAATCGACGGTCAGTTTATACTGGTTTTGCGCACCTTGATGCGTAGTTAACGTAGTACATTTACTGCCGACCCAGTTTAATGGGAAAATTATGAAACGTTATTTGACAAAGACAGTTCATTTGAAAAATGTTGCAACGTTGAAATTATGCCGATATTAAATACTTTTGTGACGAACATTTTATTATTATGCACTTGTGAAGCGAATGTGTAAGTTATTATTGAGAACGTATTCCTTCTGTATCTGATAAAGAGTTGCGTATTTTGTTTGAAAGCTGTAGTGCATCTGCATTTATTGTATACTAGCTTCTGCCCGCGACTTCGTACGCGCTATTGTTTTTTCCCGTTCCCGTTTGTGATACTCGATAAAAAGTAAAAAAATATATATTAAATTAAAAGTATCCTATGTCCGTCTCCTGGTTCTAAGTCCCACCAATTTTCATCCAAATCGATTTAGCCGTTCTATAGTTATAAATAGTGCAACTAACACGACTTTGTTTTATATACCTCTATATAGACTAGCTACTTCCGCGCGGTTTCACTCGCTCTGCTCGGCGCCTACTAATCGTAGCGTGATATTTTAAAGCCTATCTCAAAAATTGGGCTATACAACACAGAAAGAATTTTTCAAATCGGACCAGGAGTTTCGGAGATTAGCGCGTTCAAACAAACAAAAAAAAAAACAAACTCTTCAGCTTTATAATATGTATTAGTATAGATTAGCTTCTGCCAACGGTTTTGTCCGCATCCCCGAGGATAAAGAGTTCTATGTTTACTTCAGACCATAACCTACCTCTGTTCCAAATTTCATCCCGGTCCCTTCAGTCGTTTTGATGTGACTGAATAACAAACATAAACACAAACGCATTAAATTTTCCCATCAATAATAGCGGTTCGACAAACTTATATATGCGTACTAGCGGACTCAACAGACGTCGTCCTGCATATCCACTTGAATGTATAAACAAAAATTCATTCAAAATAGTTTAGCTGTTTAGGATAAATAACCTAAACATCGACTGCAGCGCCATCTCCCGGGCTGATTTGTGAATCTAAACCATTCCCAGATCCCCTTGAACACACAAAAAATTTAATCAAAATCGGTCCAGTTGTTTGGGAGAAGTTCAGTGACATACACACTCACAGAAGAATTATATATATAAAGATGGTACAGTAACTGTGTCTAGGGATCGAGCCGCAGAATTAAGTTTTTTTGTTTAGTGCACGTTTTTCGGGATGTCGCGGAGAACCTAGCGGGTTACCGGGGCTCCAGCTCGACGTGCAGGAGAAGGAACGGGGTGGTTTTTAGTCAGTAAGAGTCTGACACTCCCTCCCGCCTCACCCAGGCGGGAGCAGTCATTCGATGATTTTCCCCCCTTAAAAAAAAA